CGGTGGACTTAATTGGACTTTTCTTTTCTGCCTCTTTTAAAAAAAAATCTGAAGCTATCCTGTTAATCTCTCATTTGTAATCAATTGTGTTGACTAAACAAAAGTCTAGGTCGTCTTTTCTTCCTGTCCCAGACAATCCTTTGTTGCCTCTAAATGCCTCATTCTTGAGTGATCCTGGTCTCGTAGATGGGCCCGATTGTTGACAGTTCATTATTGCGCTTTTGTCCATTTAATCTTTCTTGCTGTGTTTTGCATGTGCATGCCTTAATGAGCTCCGTTGGCAATTAACATGTTTCTAGGAGCAAACTGGTTGCTCAGACGGTTGAGAGGGAAGTGCAGGGAAAAGGGCAACGCAGCTGCCTTGAGGTTGTTTATTTCCCAGCATTTTCTCAAGATTCCTGTCCTCTCTTTGGCAGCCCCCCACCCCTCACACTCACTCCTCCCCTCTCCTTCCCCAGCCCATTCAGCACCAGCACACCTGGATGCCTTGTTGCTACAACTCTTGGGCCTGGTTCAGGCAGCCGCGGATCCTCTTGTGAGCCAAACAGCAAAATGGGGACCTTATAGACCCATTTCTGCAGCCAAGGCAAGAAGGAGCACAGTGCTCCCCCAGATATGTCTGGATGCTGGCAACTTCTCTGTGCCGCTCTTTGCAGAGAGGAACCTCTAACCCGCCTAAGGCAATAGGACTGTACAATCTGTTATGTACAAGGCTGTGGCTTTGGAAGGAGAGGGTTTTTTTTTTTTTTTTTTTTTTTTTTTTTTTTTTGAGTTTTGCTGGCAAGATTGCTGAAGTGTGAGCAGTCATGGACAGAACAAACATCTTGTAGGGGAAAAGATAATTGGAGTCTTTTTGTGTCTGTGACAGGATCCCCCCCTCCCCCGCAACTTGATTTTTTTCAAATATTTTTTAAGGGTGGCCTCTTCAATTTAATCAAGGTTAAAATATTAATATGCAGCTGATGACTACCTTGTTTAAGTAGTTTACTAATATTGGAAACTACAAGTCATGCAAACAGTTTAATATTAAGAGGGGGAAAATCTGAAAACAGAACATTTCACCCATCAATTCCGATGCACGGCCAATAACTAAGAAGGATCCCTGTTAAGATGGCTACTAAGAGCACTTAGCGTTGGCCTCAGAACCTGCACTGTCTGGGAAAGGTATTTAGTAATTCAGACAAAACGTTCCTTTTCTCTTCGAACTACTTTTCAGGTGAAGGGATCCTTTACTGAACCCCACACCTGAAGGAAACAGACATCTTAAACCTGGGAGGAGTGACTTTGAACCTGTGGAAAGCAGCGCTGAGCCCTATAGATACAGAATAATTCTGTTTACATACAATTACCACCAGATGTGAAATGACACCTTCTCAGGTGAGAGCGATTGACAGGAGCTGGTGTGAAGGTTAAGTGACAATCAAGTTGAGGAAACAACCTCAAGGAGGCTGGAGTAAGCAAAACCCCGCTCAGGCTTGCCCCAGAGCCCAGGTTTACTGCTGAGATGAGCAGTCGGGGAGAGAAGCGCCTGCTGCTCCACCCATTAGTTTTATTTCATTTGCTATCTAGTTTGCAAGCACGCCACCTTCACTCCTCTTCCGAACTGTACCTGGAAACATTTCTCCAGCTTTATGAGATGGGGACCCTTCCAGTCTTTCTCCTGTGAAGAGAATTGTTTAAAGAAAGTTCTCTCACTTGATGGTTAGAAAGTTACTTCCCTGGATGGGACGCCCCACTTATTTTTTATTTATCACTTCACGGGAAAGGGAAGCACTTGATCACGATTTCCACATGCAGGCCAACTTTTAAACCCAGTTCTCCAAGAGGGCCCCTTTGCACCAAATTCTGTGGTGCCTGCCCCCTTGCCCAAAGCTCTGGAACTATTCAGAAGAGAGGGGGGCCTTGCCCTGACCATTGTCTGGTCTCCGATAAGCACCTCTGCAAAGGGTTTTGGTTGAGACGACTGTCAAGGGGCCCCCAAGATCTCCCAGAAACGGTGGAGGGGTGTGCGCGAGAGGCGGGGCTCACAAAACCCATTCCGAGAACCGGGAAAGGCGCTGACTCCTCGAACCAGCCTTGGGGGTAGGTGTCTGGGACGAGCAAGGCGCTCTTTCCAAATCCTTAGCTGCCAAGTCCTCCTCGCCCATCCTGGGGTTTCCTGGGGTTTGTGGCATCTACCGAAATTTCTAAGTTAAATCTGCATATCCCTCCGGGTCCCAATCCCCCCTCAGCGAACTGCAGCCAGAACGAGCTAACATTTAAATCCCTCCTCGCTCCCCCTCCCCTCCTCGCGGGCTGCGTCTTCCCAGACTTGGGG